TTAAAATATCAATTAAAATTAACTTTACGCATAAATTTATTATAAAGTCAAAGAAAGTATTAAATTATACTGAAATTATTCTATATTTTCAAAATTATATTATGATAAATTGTAATTAAGTTAAAACAGTCCTTTATAGCCTATATTTAAATTAATATTAATCGGATTAATTGCTTATATAGTGGCATTTACTGTTATTTTATACACACGTATGTTTAAAATATGAAAAACAATCGAAGTTAGTATTATTCGAAAGTATTGTTAATTCTTAAATTGATATTCAGTAATGTATAGTATCAATAAAAAAGTATGTTTCTATCTTGAGATTAAGGAATTTCCGGTTGGTTGGCAAATTTCGGAATTTTAAACCATGCGTTGTCGCAATTGTTGTTAGACACATACGCACAGTACACCCTATTATAGGTAACTTATTTTTTGAGGACTACTTTGGCGAGTAGAAATAAATACATATATGGAATAAATTTAACATTAACTGAAACTTAGGCAAGGAAAATAAAAATCATATACGTGACAATTAGTTGTGATTATAAGAAAATAAATGGCAATAACTGGTAATGCATTTGAGAATGAGATAATGCTGTATATGAATTTTTGAACAAAAAAAATCTATTCTATAAGAAATTATAGAATTTTTTTATTTACCATCAAGGAAATTATTCTCTATCTCAATATCTGAATTTGATGTTCCCTCTATTTTTGTTATATTTTTCTACTTATTATTTTAATTGTTTAAAGCACATTGTAGGTAGATGAACTATAAGTACATTAATTTTAATATTTTCACACTTTTAGTTAATTAAATATTAGTTGGTTTTGTATCATGGTATAGTATAAAGATTTACTCAAGTAAAATTGCATATGTTTTAAATTTTTTAAAATTTTATGCAAAATTTATTTAGCAATAATTTTTTTGCAATGCTAAAATTTATAAATTTTCTGCAATATATTTTAATAGTTACAATTAAAGTAAGTGTAAATTTTTAACACTCCAATGGTGACTGTAATTATGTCAACAAATAACTGAATTAATAATTAAAATTATTAAAATTTAACGTTTTTGTGCACAGCTATTCGTCTAATAAGTATATATATATATTAGGCCAGATGCACTTTTTTGATTAATATAATATGAGAGACAATTCAATAATAATTTTTTGTTGGAAAATGTAGAATAATAAATGGATGTTATTCAAAAATTTTAAACCAACAAACAGTATGCATTCGTATACATTATGTAAAAACTGTTTTTAATGAAAATTTATAATGTGTAATAATTTTTTTATTTACTTTTACAATAAGTGATTTGAATTTAAATACCATTTAATGGAACTGAGGTTGAAAAATAAAAAAAAAAAAGGGGGAAAAAAGAAAAAAAAAATTATAATTTTATTTTAAAATTTTAAAATGTTTTTATATTAACAAATTTAAGCGCTAGAGATTATCGTAATCTACTTATTTCATATTCATAAAATTATTGACAGTAAATAATATTTTATTATAAGAACATTTATACATATTATCTAGATATAATATAATTGCGGATAATTTTCTAATATTCTTTGCAGTAGGTATATTTTAAACTTTAAACTTTGATTAAATTTTTGAAATTAGAGTAAAAAAATACACTGTTAATTTAATATTCTTATTGGCATTTTTGAATAAGAAACAATAATTTCAGGAAAGGAAGTGATGGTAGAAGGAAGACGGGTAAAAATCGGAAATATTATCATTTACCGACTTTAAATAATTAAAAAATTTATCGACTATAGGATTTAAGCTTCAATTTTTTTAGCTAGTTTCTATCCATACATTAAAACATAATTTTGAATATTATTAATACAATAATTTAATATTGTTGCAAAATCGTAGACTAAGAACCTACAATAATCTCTTAGAGTTTACAGTTCATTATTATCAAGTTCATTTTTCTTAATAATTTTAATTTTAATACTGAATTTTTACTTTAGTTTATCAAATTATATCTATAAGTTTTTAAATGTGTAAAATGTACTTGTATTATGTAAGTTTTCCGTTATCTTTCAATACAATTTAAAGAGAAAATCACCCCCTATTTGATTTGATATATTTTTCTTTTTGAAATTGTTAAATGATTCATGCATTGTGATTATCATATAATGCATTCATTACCGGGTTTTAAAACTACTCGTATATATTAACTTTTTCCCTCGTATATATTATATGTTCTTACATTCATGCATGTTTTTGTAAAATGGTAAGAGTATTAAAAGAACGTTGGTACTTTCATATGTTATATATAGGTTCATATGTTTTTTAAATGTTAAGCAAAAGTATAAGTAAATGTTGTGTTCAATCATTCGAATCGCCCCCAATTTGTCTTTTGTCTACATATATGTTAATTTCTATTTGATTTGCTTTTTATATTGCTAATGAATAGTTCATTTTATTTCTGTTTGGTCGATTGGACAGTGAAATTTTGATTCTTTCTTCTTCATCGGATGTGTATAAAATTATTCTAGGTGACATTTTCAATAGATCGAATTTCCAAAAGGTTCTTACATTATACGTTACAAGTACATGTTCTATTAAAATGTTCTGAAATTAAATCAAAAATGAATAAGTTTATATCATATAATAAGCGTAAATATTACAATGATCATATTATCAATGATCAGCTATCATATTATTGTAATATTTACGCTTATTTGGCAATAAAATTATAACTCATTTACTTATTAACGAAAGAAGTGCAAAATTTCACTTTTAAAAATAATTGATAAATATTTCAAAATTTTCAATTTTTGTAATATGGAGAAATTTTCCTATTCTAATCATATCTGAGCATTGCTATGCACCCTTTATATTTAAAATTTTATCTAAAATATTTTTTGGATTTTTCTAAAAACAATTAATTTTCAAACTTTTTCAAGTAAACTTTTTTAATATTTTAATTTTTTGGGATTGAAAACGTTCTTTGTTTTATTTCCATTAATATTTTTTGATATGGGTTAGGAATATTGATAGTTAAATATTAAATGCACAAATGTAAACATATAAGATAATGGTTAAACACAATTACGAAATTATGGCTTTTTTTAAATGAAGGGAAGAAAAACTTTTTGTAAAAAGTAAAAAATTTCAAAAAAATTAATATGATGAAAAAACCAAAAAAAAGTGTGTTTCTTTCGGTATACTTTCGGTTTCGTTTTCATATTTGGTAACAATGAACACATTTTGTACATACGTACAATTCCCATCGGCTTAAATAGACACCTATACTTTTTACCTTTTAATATTTAGGTTTATTTTTTTAAGCACAAATTGAAAAAAAAAAACAGCATTTTTTATGGATTTTTATTGCTGGTAGCTATTATACACATAATCGTTTATAGTATTAAAAACAAATTATGGTTTTTTTTTATGTTTTTCTCTGATTTGTTTGGGAATGCCAAATTTATAAGGTGATCCAAATCTTTTTGAGTTCAATGGCGAGTTATTTGTTTTTTTTTTTATCTCTTCTTTTAGGAAATTGTGTAATATTTGTACTTGTTTTGAATTGTGTGAAACATTGAAAAATTTGTGCGTTGAATAATGAAAAGGTTGTGACTTTTAAATACTGTCTAACTGATATACAATTAAAATTAATTAGTATAAGTATACTAAATTTAAAATAAAAAATAAGTTTTCTTTTATTAAGAGCAAAAAATAATATGAAAATTTAGTATATATTTTTAGATATTTAGGTATACAAAAATACTACTTGAAATTGTTGGGCAATTTAAGCTGATTTTATTGTTGAATTTTGTTTGACAGTTTTTTAGTAATAAGTAATTGTGCACTAGACATACCATTACACAATTACATATGAGTCAAATGTGTTTCATCAATGATTTTTTTCTACAAAATTTATTTAATTATGGCTTTATATTAGTGTATGCTCGGAAAATTATCCAGTGAAATGGGAAAATTGCTGATTTTAATACATTTCATAATAATTATCGAAATATTTGGTATTTATTTGCTGAATATTTTGGTATGGGAGACTTATAAACTATTAAATGGTTAACTATTTGAAAGCCATTTCCAAATATATTCAATTAAACATATTTTCTTGTTCAATTTTCTATATTGAATCTTATTTTTTTTAACAAAATCAAAAGAAGTACATTAGAACATAACTTTATTAAAATTTTGAAAAAATTAACAATTTAATTTGAAAAGCTTATTTTTAAATAAAAAAGTGAAGCACTGAAGTTAATTTTAACAAAAAAAAAATACTATAGGATATTTACAAATTTTTCTGTAATTAAGACTTTAATTTTAAAAATTTTTAATAATAGTCAACCAGAACAAATAAAGCGTACTATAGTAAATAAGTTAAAAAGATAATTTTGTTAAAAGGCGGGTTGTAATCAACATAATATTTTCATTTTAACCCACTCAAAGGATAAAAACGATATTTATTTTCCAATGAACGACTTAACTGGATTCACACAGTCATTTCATACATAAATTAACGAAAATTTCATTGAATATTTTTTTTAAACAAAATTTAAAATATTTTTTTTTTTAACAATTTTATTTTGATTATGGCAATTCATAATTCTTTATTATTCAATTCTTTTTTTTTTTCATGTTTTATGCATTCTGCAGGTTTTTTATCCACATCACATACATGCATATACTAACAAATAAAATATTAATAAATATTGTTTATTTTGACTTTATACATACAATGGTGCTCTGTCCTTATTTTCACTTAGCTTTTATCACTTTACACTCATGCTAAAATATTTTTAATAATTTTTTCTTTCAATTCCTTTTTTTGGTTTTGTTTAATAACAGGACCGTGAAATAAAATGTTTCAGAATGGTAACTATTTTATTTTTTTTTAAGTTATTAAGTATGAAAAAATATTGATGAAAAATAAGAGTGGTTATAAAATAATTAAAAAATAAACAGAACGAAAATTGAGATAAAAACACACGATTTTAGCTCACCTCTGCGTAAACGACATCATACAAAAAAGATTATATTTTCAACGACGCAGCTTTTAACTAAATGAAACCTAAATATAATGCACTGTAACTCTTATATAAGTTTAAAAAAAATATTATATAAATTTTTTCAGATATTCCGCAACTGGCTAACATTTAGTTGAAAATTAATAAAGTTAAGATTTACTAAAGTAATTCATGATTGGGTATAAAATAATTTTAATAGCGATTTTGTATTATGTATATTGTTTGTCTTATAACTATGGTTGTAGTGAATTTGTAATTTTGTAGTCAGATTTTGTGCTTGTAACCTATTTCAAATTTTATTATCCTTATAAACACAGCAAATTATATTGTCTTATATTTCAATTCGAAAACAAATTATCGGTTTCGCAGATTCGGGTCGAAAGTCATGATAAGAATTAGAGGCAGCGTCAGAGTGAAAGTTAGAATTGGAATCTGGTTGACTTAAAAATAGTGGAACCAGACTTCCAATCCGAATCAGAGTCAAAGCCAGTGTCACGGTCAGAATGTATGTATGTCAGAGTCAAATCAAAGTCAGAATCAGAAGCAGAGTCAAATGAATGCCAAAGTCAAAAGAAAGAGCTATAGTCAAAATCGAATCAGCATCGAGTTTCTTTTTTAAAATAACAGAAATTGATGTTGTTATGTCTGTGTTAACTATTCTCTGGTGGTAAAGAAGACAATCATTTTTCAATTTTAAGTTCATTTTCGCGTTTTTAATATGTTATTGTATTAGTGTAGAGGCATTGGAATAACCCAAATAAACAAAAAAAAAATGTTAAACAATTTTTTTTTAGGTTTAAAGTATGTATATTTATTTTTTCCCATTTAATGCGATGGTGACCGTATAGATCAAATGATATTAAAATCAAGAACACATAAACAAAAAAAAATTTTTTTTTACTTGAAAATAAATGAGTGGGATGTAAAATACAGCTAAAATTTTCACATAATATACGCACAGAATATGCATTACAAATGTAGTAAATTTTCATAGATATTATTGTGAGTACAGAATCGTCTTTAATAAAAAAAATTTTATATATTTTGGTTTTTGATTTTGTTGGAGCCATGGATGAATGCATTTAAAAAAAATAAATAAACAAAAAAAAAATTCAAAATTCATTTTAAGGTTAGGCTGTCTCGCGTTCACTCACCTGTGCGAAAAAAAAATAGTTTTTAAATAATAATCAAAAATTACATTATGGGTAACTAAAAATATTTTAATTTTTTTAATTCAATTTTACTCTGGGTTCCCATACAAATACACATAAACGCTTTTTAATTAAATTTCATAGCAGTTAAATTTAAATAGAGGAAGCGAATACTATAAAATTACCAACCTGGACTATTATTTAATAATTAGTGGTTCGTTTCATTTCTGAGAAATTCAAACAAATTCAATAAAAATAAACAAATTCAACACAATACTATTTTTAATCATTTTAAGGAGCAAAATAGGATTTATTTAAACATATTTAAAAAATATTCAAATATTTAAACAAATTTTTGACTTAAAGTAATTCAAACTGTTTAATAAAAATATTTTTTTTAATAAATTGTGTAATTATGAATAATTGAATAAATTATGAATGCATACGTAATGAGCACCAAATCATAATTACAGCTTTTATTTCATGAAATTTATTAGAATGAGTTCTTTTTTTTTTTTTAATTTAAGTAGTTAAGGAAAATTACATACCTATAATAAGCATATGGTTATTATTAAAATAAAAATTTTAAAAGAAAATTGTATATATTAGTAGAGTCTAAAACAGTTGAGTGAATTCTCTTTAATTTTATGATTTCCATCCATAAAGAAATAAAAAGAGAAAAAATATTATTATTACTTTAATAAAAATCAGTACATAATATTTTGATATACGAGGAAAGTATGAAATTTCGTTTTGGAAACAAGAACTAAATACCTATACTGTGGTGTGACGTATTGAAGTTAGAAATGAGTATAGAACATAAAAGTAATTTCAGACGTGATTTTTTTTGTTATACAACGCTGTCAAACATTATACGATCTAAAAGCGGATGACATTATTAACCCTCATTATTATTGTGTGTGCTGACTGCATAATAATATTAATAATGCCTGCTTTTTGCAATTTTATTGAAAAATTCACAACGGTTATGATTTTGATCATCATAACTGTTGTAAAATATTTTTTATTTTGACTTTTTTTTATTTAGCATTATGGTTGTACTTAAATGTATATAATTTAAAAGAAAATGTTGAATAGTAAATGGAGATTGTTAGAATTAAATAAATTAATAAAGTCATCCGTCATTTTATATTATCATAATAGTAAAGTATAAATAAATATATGAGAATAACATTGTAAACATTAGTTTCCTGCAAGTAATTTTCTGAATTGCATGTAATAAACGGGACAAGGCAGATACAGCCAATCAAGTAAACTTTTAACAGGTAAAAGGTAAAAATCAAGCTTAGGAAATGAATTATGCCAGTTTTATCAAAATTTAGATCTACACTGATAAATATTTTATTTAAAGATATAGAATATTGACATAAATCTCACATCTACCGTCGAATAATAAAAAATTTTAACAGCATAAAATTTTTTACAACAATAACTTCTTGCATCTTATAAGGCTGGTAGTATTGTTGTTAACATCTTGTATTAAAATAAATTGTCAAAAAATAAGAAAATTCCATATTTTATAGCAATAAATAAACTTTTGAGAGAACATTAATTAATAATTTAAGGTGTTTATGGTGATGGAAAACATAATTATTATGATGCATATAACGATAGAAGGAAGGAAAAATAATTGATATGTTTAATTTACAACCCACTCATATCTTAAAAAAAAATTATTTTTATTATGCTTAAGTATTGTACATGCGACAATTAAAATGGCTTCATAAAACGTACATACATTTTTAATAATGTGCGCGACAATAATTTTCCTATCTTACAATGAGTTTATTTTTTCGTTTTCTCTTTATTTTTCTTTAGGATACATTTAAAGTCCATTTAAATTTTAAAAAGTTCATAATCATTAAAAATATACACATATATAATAACCACAAAAGTAATAAAAAATTTTGAAAAAAATTTAAAAAAGGAGTTTTTCTCATCTCATATACTATAATATCAGTTTTCTCAAGTTTTCCCGAGGTTTATTTTTCAGCAGGGCGTTAAACGCTTTTAATAAAAGCGAAATTAATTGAATATTTTTTTGTCTTAGTTTCATAAGTAATGCTGATTCAAACTTTTTTTTAATTTGAAGTGAAATTAAAGTTGTTTAATATAAAAAGTTTTTAAATTAAACGAATATTTAGGAATACGCGGAATACGTTTACAATATTGCCGTTAAACAGTTTTTAGCCGATTTACAATTTTTGGTAAAGTTTGGAAGTCTGTCGAAACTTCTGCTATTTTCACAAAATGCGGTAGTCAACGGGTACGGAAGTGGATCTAAGGCAAAAAATACCTAAACAGTCTGTTAGATAATTTAGAATCTAATAGTATCATTTTTAGATATAACAATAAAACATTTTTGTATTACCTACTCGAGAAACTTATTGAAAAAAATTATAAAAATTTAACAATTCTTTTGTTATAACAGAAGTTTGGTATTTTTTTTTCTACGAATTTGTACAATGAAATTCCGGGAACTTCCTTTTACTTTTTTCCAATTTATTACTTTAGCACCTAAAAGAAAAAAAATTACATATATTATTACTAGGAACATAATAATACAAAGGTATTGAAAGTAAGAATTAAATAAAAATAATTCTTTTTCACAAATTTTTATTTTATTTTCTATATATATATTGAATTATATTATATAAATAATGAAAATTTATTATATTTTTTTGTGTATACTACACAAACAAACAAAAAAGAAAAATCTTATAGAAAATCTATAGAAATCGTAAATTGTATCTTTCACCTCGATATTTTTTAACGTTTATTACATTGTAAATATTATAAATATATTATAGATATATGGATGTATTTAGATATATAATATGTAAACACATCCATAACAATAATATGTTAGAGGCGATACATGTGTTTAATATAAGTTGTACTTGTACGCAACGCACATTATGTACACACAGTTATTATTATGGCTGATTTGATGTCATAAATTTTATACTTTAGAAAAATAAAGAACACAAAAAAAGTATGAAAATTGTTTGGATCAAAAATCCAAGTAGAATTTACACTACGTATGTATGGATGTTCACATATAATATTTAAGTACTTTGATGACATTGAAAAAATAAAAGTAAAAAAGAAAATTACATGATTTTCAATTGACATTAAAATGATTTTTGATCTTACACACAAGTAATACTAAATTGAATGTAAGTGTAGGTCTAAAATTACAAGTCTACTTATTTAAGTAATATGTAAGTACAAAATGCTCAAGCACTGAAGTACAGAGTCAGGGAAAGGTAAAAAACCCCCCGGCAACAATATTTTATATAGTGGCATTGTTGGCAGGAAAAACGTAACATAAACACATATATGTACATATTATGTAGGTATGAAAATTTTAGTTTAGTCGTAGTTTAAGTAATTGTATATTAGGTTATTTTCAATACTTTAAATAATTCTACTTAGTAAAATACAAAGAAATTGTTAGTTTTTATTTGAATTTAGATTGTTCAATAGGTTGAAGTCCTATATATGGTATTTTGGAGGAGAAAGTCTACTTATTGAAATTTGAAGCGTTTTGAATGTTTGATGGACTATTATACGTAAAAAAATTGCTCTAAATTTGAAGTGAATCAGTTAATTTTTTATTAAGTATTTGTAATCATTTATATAAGCATTTCTATATCAAATACTTTATTAATTGTTAATTAGTCCTAACAACTTTCAACGTAAATATACATTTTTTTTAACCCATATATACCTAAATTTTGAAACCATTTTGAATTGTAATTGCAATTTTTTTAAAAAGTAATTTTTTCTTTTCATTTGTTAAAGTTTACACATGTGTGGTCTTATGAATAAGAAGTACATTAAAATAAAAAAGTGTTAT